CTGGATGCCATTGACCAGATGTGGCTGCCGGTGGTGAGAACTTGGCGTCTCAATGAGCGGCACTATGGGGGCCTGAATGGCCTGAATAAAGCAGAGACGGCTGCCAAGCACGGCAAGGCCCAGGTGAAGATTTGGCAGCGCTCCTACGATGTCCCACCACCCCCGATGGAGCCTGACCACCCCTTCTCCAGCAACATCAGCAAGGATCGTAGGTATGCAGACCTCACTGAAGATCAGCTGCCTTACTGTGAGAGTCTGAAAGACACCATTGCCAGAGCTCTGCCCTTCTGGAATGAAGAAATTGTTCCCCAGATCAAGGAGGGGAAAAGGGTGTTGATTGCAGCCCATGGCACAGCCTGCGGGGTATAGTCAAGCATCTGGAAGGTCTCACTGAAGAAGCCATCATGGAGCTGAACCTGCCAACTGGTATGCCTATTGTCTACGAGCTGGATAAAAACTTAAAGCCCATCAAGCCCATGCAGTTCCTCGGGGATGAAGAGACCGTGCTCAAAGCCATGGAAGCTGTGGCTGCCCAGGGCAAGGCCAAGAAGTGAAGACCACCAGCAGCCTGCACCCCATCCCCCCACCCTCCACACCTCTCCCCACCTGTCACACTGACCACATCTGTAGGCGTCCTGTGTTGTAGCTGTGGATGGGGACTAGTGGCTCCCATTTCTCTTTTAGCATTTCGGCTCCTGCACCCACTTCCTTGATAGAATCTAGTCAGGACAAGACCTCTAGAACACAAGCTCTAGTTCTCAGTCCAAGCCCAGGGAAGGCTCTTCTTATCCGGGAGAGCTGAGAGGTAGTAACTGTCTAGTGCTTCTGCTTTGTTTACCAAGGACCTGCTTGAGTAGGGGACAGGGATAGCCATGCCAAGGCATGACCAGTGAGGAGCGGCCTGAGCATGCTGCTCCCCAGAGCCAGCCCTGAGCTCTTCTGTAGTCCAGTCAGTCAGCAAGCCCTTGACATTCCAGTGAGAGATGAAGGTAACCTGCTTGGTGACTGAAGTATAGTTTCTTCCCTCACTCTAGAGGAGCTGGCTCCAGAAGGTTGGGCTTAATCCTGAAGTAAGTTTATGTGTTCAATTTTTCTACAAAAGAAAAATTATATGAACACCCTCTGGGGCTTCTAGTGGTGGTTGGATAGTTCCACATGTGGTCACCAGAACACAAGCCATTCCTCACACCAGTACAGGACGAGCTCTGGCCCCTGTAGGGTAGGAGTGCGTCCTGCTGTGTAGCTTAGGCTCTCTCTGCCTTGTTTTGGTGGCAGTGAAAACGCCTCCTGACCACGTCTAAGTGCGTCTCACAGTGTCTGATTTCTGAATCATGTTCCAGCGGGCGTGGCCCCGCCGCATGGGCCAGCACTCATTTGAGCATAACTAAGTCTTTTTCCAGATCAGTGTAATAAAGGAGTGATGTGCAATAAAAAAAAAAAAAAAGAAAAAAAAAAAAGAAACTGTCCCATTGCTATTTGTTTCTCAATAAAATTATGGAAAATAATAACATTCATCACGGGGAATTTATACATAATATATCTTGCTTCTTTCTCCCCTCCCCATTTCCATCCCCTCTCTTCATCCTTCTTCCCTTTTTTATGTATAAAAACATTGTTTCCATTTTTTCCTCCTATTATCTTTTTTCCCCCTTGCCCTTCTTCCTTTCCCCTCCGTCCTTGTTTCTCTTTCTTGTTCCCCTGGGGGAAGGATTTCTATCTACTAGGTCAGCTCCAGGGTCCTTCTACTTTATGCAAAATCCAAGTGAAGTAATGGAGCAGATATGAAACTGGATGATGATAAGATGAGATAAGGAACAGAGCAGGGCAAAATTGGGACAAACTGTGTGGGCTGAGAGTAGGGGCAAAGGCATGGTTTGGTTTGGTTTGGTTTGGTTTGAAACAAGATTCATTGAACTTACTTTGTAGCCCAGGCTGGCCTCAAATTCATGGTGATCCTTCTGCCCCAGCCTTCAGAGGGCTGGGGTTACAGGCATGTGC